GCCGTATGAGTGACAACGGACACCTTGCTCTGGGACGAATGAAAAGGAAACCACCTAATTTGTTTGGTCACTGCTAGCGGGCAGCATTTGTCACCGAGGCCTTGGGACTCCTGGCCCAGTGCTCCTCCCATCACACGGTTGTGCCCAGCAGCCCCTGGGTATCAGATGAGCCACTCCCGTTTGCTCTGCAGATGGGCAGAGGAGGCGCGGCCCCTCGGACAGGAAAAGGGAGACCGTGAGGGAAGTCAGTGAGCCCCTGCTTGGAAACAGGAAAAACCACTGGGTGCAGGCAGGCGCTGACCATCGGCGAACGCTGGCCCTGTCCCACGACAATGGCTCCCGGGCGCCCGCCTAGCACTAGGGGCTGCAGGCGTCAGACTTGGCATGGCCTGGCGAGCGGGGACCCTGCACCTGCAGCCGGCTCAACCTGGCTGTCCCCTGCAGAGCCCCGGCCCCGTCACTCATCCTTTCGCCCCGCTGGTCACTGGTCCTGGTGCCCCAGGCCCACTGCGGTTCCCTGACCTGGGCCTGGGGCAGTGGCCAGCTCTCCTCTCAGCCCCTCCCGCGCCGCCTCCACCGGGCAGCCCCGGGGAACCTGCCCTCTTTTGCCATCAAAATTGTGCCACCCAGGAGGCTCGGACGAAGGGACTTCAGAAAGTGCGGAAAATGGAGTGAGAAGACGAGAAACCTGTGCAGATGAGGGCATCTTCAAAACTCAAAGTTCGGAGGGGCCGGCGCTGTGGCACAGCAGGTGCAGCCGCCGCCTGTGACGCCTGCGTCCCATACGGGCGCCAGTTCGGATCCCGGCTGCACCACTTCCTATCCAGCTCCCTGCTATGGCCTGGGAAAGCAGCGGAGGATAGCCCAAGTCCTTAGGCCCCTGCGCCCACATGGGAGACAGGGTGCCTGAGAGACGGCGGGGGTGGGGGGGAGTCAGCATGGGCCTGCTCCCGGGAACTCGATCCCCTGCGAGCCCTGCCTGTCTCTCCGGCTCTCCAGCACGCGCCTCAGCCTTGCGCACCGACCCCGGACACTCAGACTCAACCTCCCAGTGCCATTCTCGGCGCCTGTTCGCCTGGTGCTTTTCCTATGCAACTCGGCGGTGCCCCAGCCCCCCCACGGTCCCACGCCCAGAGGCAGACCGCGGCCTGTGGCTCCCGTGCAGGTGCCCACACGGCATGGCGTGGCGGAGCCCACGGGACTGGGCCGTGAGTCCCCTGGAGGTGGGCTGGGGGTGTTTGCTGGATGCCAATGCGGGCGCCTCGTCTGGCTCTTGCCTTTGGCCAAGGAGTAGCCAGAGCGGCTTCGTGAAACCCAAGTCAGGGGCGGGGCTTGGTGCAGCTGTCCAGGCGCCCATGTTGGAGGGCCTGGGTTCGAGTCCTGGCTCCATGGCCAGCTCCAGCCTCCTGGAAAGCTCCCTGGAGGCGGCAGGTGATGAAGTACCGGGGTTCCTGCCACCCCCAAGGAGACCGGATTGGGTTTCGGGCTCCTGGCTTCAGCCTGGGCCAGATCCAGCTGTTGCAGGCATTTGGGGGGGGGGCGAACTAGTGGGTGGGAGAACTCCCCCCCCCGCCTCTCAACAGTCGATGGAATTTACCCCCCATACAAGGAGACGGAAGCACTCCCTTGCAACCGAATCCAGCGGCTTCAGGATGCGACGAAGCCCCAGCTTACCCACAAGGCCCTGCGAGCCGCCGCCAGGGCCCCCGCGGAGCTCAGCTTGCGCCCTGGCAGAGCGCCAGCCACCAGGGCCGCTTCTAGCAGCTGCTTTGCCCCCAAACCCTTCCTGCCGCAGGGCCTTTGCTCAAGCTGTTTCCCCCCACTCCAACACGTTCTGTCTCCAGCTCCCTCCACGATGGCCCTCTCTCTAGTCCCACAATCCCACACGGCAGGCACTCCCCTCCCCTCCCCCGAGGAGTTGCCTGGGTGGCTCTGGATGCCAACACAGCTTGTCCGTGTCCTTGGGAACTGCTGTGGTGTCAGCGGCTGACGTGATTTCATAGGCGACACCGCAGCCCTGCACAGCAGGTGTTGAAGGGGAGGGATGGAGGCTCAGAGAGGGTGAGACACATACCCGAGGTCACACAGCTGATCAGTGCCAGAGTGGAGCTGCAGCCCCCACAGGAGCTGGTGGAGCAGGGGGCAGGCCCCGGGGGTGGGCTTGGCGCCCTTGTTTGGGAAGACAGATCTCTTGGATCCCGCTGTCCCTAGCTGGGGCCCCGCCCTGCAGCGTGTCCACTCTGGACTGGGTGCCATGGCCGAGAGGAGGGAGGACCAGGCTCTAGATCACTGGTCTGCTAGCAGAGGCATAGTCGTGTGCCTTGGGGAGCCCTCCAGTCTGAGGGGACACGTAGACCTAGTTTTGGGGAGGCCACAGTCTGAGGGGGGAGGCACAGCCCCTTCCTCCCTCTGGGGAAGACAGGCAGGCCCCCCTCCCACCTGGGACACCAGGCAGCTGTGACAGCCTGAGAAGCCAGGCCAGGCCTGAGAGCAGGTGCCCGCCGCAGGACGCCAGCTTCCGGATCCCGTCGTCCCCTGCTCCCCAGAGCACACGGTGCAAAGTTGCACTTCCTCTCTGCCCTGCCACGCCTGGGGGGAGGGGCCTAGCAGGCGCCCCCACCGCAGTGGGGAGCCCCCTGGTGGAGGGTGGGGGTTTGCCTCGGGGAGGCCTCCCAGCCCGCAGCTCATCCTCCAGGGACCGGCGTCCCTGTGCCCGCACAGCCTCCAGCATCCTCTCCACATTCAACAGGCACGGATGCGCCGGTGTGCCAGGCCGGTGCCAGGCCAGTGCCAGGCCTGGGGGCGCCAGGGAGCCCGTGCGGAGCCTGCCTTGAGAACTGAGCCAGGCAAAGCAGGCAGGCGAGGCCTCCTGAGTCTTTTCACACAAACGTAGTTTTCAAAGGGCCGGGAGTGGGGGGCGGAGAAGAGAAATCCTCCATCGCAGGTTCTCTCCCCCAAATGGCTGCAATGGCTGGGGCTGAAGCCAGGAGCCTGGGACTCCATCCGGGCCTCCCACATGGATGCAGGGGCCCACGCATCTGGGCCGGCTGCGGCTGCCCCCAGGTGCGCATCAGCAGGGAGCTGGATCAGAAGCGGAGCAGCCCGGGCTGGAAGCAGCAGGCACTCTGACGTGGGATGCAGGCGCTCCAAGCACCAAGCAGTCTGGATGTGTTCAGATTGGAGCTGAGCAGGGGGCTCTGGGAGGTTTAGGGACAGTGTCTACGAATTCTGGGCAAGGAGGGCTCCCAGGAGGAGGTCCCTGCAAGAGACCCCCTCCTGCACATGAGGATGGGGTGAGTGAGGACGGCACCTGCATTGGGGTACAGTGTGTGCACCAGCCCCAGGGAGCCCCCATGCTCCTCAGCCCCCTGTCCCCACCTGGCCTCACTGCCTCTGCCCTTGTCCCGTACGTGGCCATCCGGGCAGCCACAGAATGGTGACAGGTGACAGGGTCACCTCCCCAACTCCTCCCCAGCCTCCGGGCCTCCCTCCCACCCCATGGGACTACGCCTGTGTCCTGTGACTGTTGGCTGCCTCTCTCCCCCAGCGTGAGTTCCAGCGCAGACTCTCGTCTTGTTCCCTGTGTTGTCCCCAGATCTGACACCACACTGGCGACAAGTATGGGGGATGAATGTATGCAGTGAATGAATGAATGGGTGACGCTGGGTGTGCCTTGGGAACAGGGAGGGGAGAGCAGGGAGGAGGCCAGGACAGGCAGCGGCGGGGGGCGGGGAGGCTGGAGGCTGCAGGGGGTGGGGGCTTTAGTCTGAGGTCGGTGAGCAGCCCTGGGTGGGGGCTGGGGGCAGTGACAGAGCTCCATGTCTCAGGAGCATTTCCTGAGCCCTCCTGCGCCCCAACCCCCTGTAGGAGCAGGAGACAGACCAGGGTGGGGGAGGAAGTCCCCCGCAGGGCACAGGGCAGGTGAGTGCTGGCGGGGCCCAGTGTCCCGGGACCTACTGTGTGCTGCTGCAGCCAGAGCAGCCCCTCTGGAAGAAGAAGTCAAAACCCAGTTCCCTGGGGACCTCCTGTGTGCCAGCCCCGGGGACCTAGTGACAAAGTCCCAAGGGAGAGCCCACTGTGGAAGGGGCTTGGCGCACAGTAGGTGCTCAGCCAAGCCCCTGGTGCTGCTCTCCCCTTCTCTGGCCGTGGCTCGCCCTGCGCCCCCGAGGCCCGGCTGTGCGCAGCCTGGGCTCCGAGCAGCGGTGCTCCGGGCGATCGCTCGCAGCCGCTGCTGATTCTGAGTCCAGTGAAGCAGAACCGGACCCCTCCGGAGCACGCGCCTCTTCTCCGGGAGTCGCGCTGGACCGGAGAAAATCGCCCTCACCTTGGTGCCCTTCTACTTGGAAATTTGTCATTGGAATTCAGAGGGAATTGGTTTTCTCACCGCGGGATGCCTTTGGCTTTGCCTTCTGGCTTTCAAAGCGTAACACAGCCGTTCTCTCCCCTGCCCTTCCACCCCCCTGCCCAAGGCGCCCGCCCGGCTTCAGCCAATCCCAGAGGCTGATGACCCCCACCCACCTTCTCCATGCCGGTGCCGGTGCCGGTGGCCGGTGGCTGGAGTCCAGCCCGCAGCCAGTAACCCTGGCTGCAGCACGGGGCGGGGGGTGGGGGTGGGTGGACAGAGTCCCAGCCCAGGGCTCCCCCTCCACCGCCGCCCTCCCCATCGCACTGCCCAGCCTCCTCGGGACGCAGCTGTCGCCTTGGGGGACATGTGCCACGGTGGTCTGGGCGGCACCAGCTCCCCTCAGCACCACCGTCTCCAACTCCCTGCAGGAGCCAAGGCCAGCGTGGGTGGCTGGAATCTCCCGGGTAACAGGGTCTGCCCCCCGCGCCTGCCTCCCCCAGCCCCCTGTCTCCTCCCTTAACCTGCCGCAATACCCCCCCACCTGCTCTCCGGCCCCCGCCCCTCCCCCGCCCTCCTTCGCCAGCTCCGTGTCACCATCTGTGGCACCATCCTTCTCTGTCACTCTCCTGGCCACCCCCTCGCTCTCCTTCCTCCTCTCCGGCCCTGCCTCCTGCACTTCTCCCTCTCTCTCCTCCTCCCTTCTCGCTGTCACGCATCTCCCCTCAGCCCCCTCATTCCGGCTCTCCACCCACTCACTGTCTCCCTCTCCCTTGCTCTCTCTCTTTCTCTTCCTCTCCCTCTCTCTTTCTCTGCCTCTCTCTCTCCCTACCTCCAGCCCCCCCTCCATTTCTATTGGCTCCCTGCAGCTCCCGTTCCTTTTGATCTTGCTCACCTTGGAGGCTTGTCCTTCCACCCCCACCCGGCTCCCTTACCTGCAGACCCCCCTCTGTCCCCCCCATGTGTCCTGGAGATGGGGGGCTGACGCACCAGGCACGGGTGGGAAGTCAGGGCCAGAGACTGGACAGGAGTGGCTCCGGGGGTGGCTCTGGCCGCCTGGAGCCTAGGAAGGGACCCGCACCTGCTGGTGGTCCAGAAGTGGGTGCTGTTTGGGGGACACTGACTGGGGGTGCTGGGGGGGGCTCCCTGGGGACTGGGCAGCAAGAAGGGGCAGCAGAATGAGTGCCAGCTGGGAGGCAGCGAGGAGAGCCCAGAGCCCGCAGACAGGTAAGGAGGCTGGGGCCCTGGCGTGGGCTGCAGAGGGTGGGCTGCCTGGGGCTGGGGTGCCGGAGCCCGTCCCCTGGCCAGGATGAGCCTGGGAGGGCTGCGGCTGGGGGCTGGTGGGGAGTGGGGTCTCCCTGGGACCTGCCGCTGGGCTGCAGGGTGGGGAGGGGGATGCATCTCAGCACCTGTGCCATGATTCTAGCATGTCGGGGTCACAGAGCGGCGGAGCCGGAAGCGAGCAGGTGCACCCTGGCGTGCGGCCTCCTCGGCTCACGCCGCAGCTCCCCTCCATGCTGGGCACTCCAGCTTGATCTTTGCAGCAGCCCTGGGAGGTGGGTGTGCTCGTCTTGGATGGGTCCAGAGAAGACAAGCGGCTTGGGCAAGGTCACACAGCAACTTGGTGTCATCACTCGGGGGCCCAGCCTTGGCCTCTAACCCGGGGCTTACAGTGCGTGTTCCTGGGGGTGGGATTCCAGGCCCGGGGTGGGAGTGAGTCTGGAGGGCAGGTCCAGATGTGCAGGGGTCGAGCAGGATGCAGACAGCCAGGGGCCACCAGCCTGTGCTGCCCAGGGACGGCCCAGCTGCCGACTGCTTGTGTGCCGAGGCCTTTAGAGAAGGGACCTATGGTTTGGGAGTCGACAGAACTGGGTTCGAGCTGTGGCTTCCTTCCCGCCAGCTGGGTGGCCTCGTGCAAGCTGCTGAGCCTCTCGGAGCCTCCACTCCGTCCTCTCTAGCCTCCAGCCCCCGGGGCCTCCTGAGGTTTCCTCCTGTGCCTCTGAGGTCTCTCTCCAGGGACCACGGCCCCCCGGGTGCCCTTGCTTGCTCGGCTCTGTTTGCACCCACTGATGCTGCAGGGGCTGGGCCAAGTGCAGGGCTTGAATGAATCACTCGGGGTCCCTGCGCCCAAGAGCCAGCCAGCATTCTGGAGGGGCGGGGAGGGCATACAGTGGCCGGCTGTCTGCCTCTCTGGTCGCTGTGGCGCTCCGGGCAGCCACTCACCCTCTCTGTGCGCTCTCCCTCCTGCAAGCAGTCCTCCGGGGAGTCCGCCCCCGGCTTTCAGGCGAAAGCTTGTGCCAAAGATAAACCAGGAGCCCGGGAGAAGCGCCTCCTTCCCGGGGATGAACTAGATCATGCTCAGGATCCCAGCTCCCGAAGGCGACGGCGGCAGGGAAATTGCGGGCCTGCCTTACGCTCACGCAAAGCCATCATCTTCCCACACCTGGCGCCCGGCCCATTCAGCTTGAACCTGAGATGACGGGGTGGGGGGGGGAGCTGGCAGAGGCTCTTCTGAGAGTTCCAGGGGTCCTGGGAGGGGCTGTTTGATCCCCCGCTACCAAGAAGGTCTGGCTGGGCTCTCTGTGCTCCTGCCAGGGCCACGTGTTGTGCCTGAGCACGTGTGCTGAGCGGGCGGTGCGCACGCGTGTGCTGCCGGGCAGGGCTGTGTTCAGAGCGCACCCCCAGGCTTCCCCGAGGGCATCTGTCCCTGCTGCCTGGAAACTGGGCTGCTCAGCTCCCTGCTCCTCTCAGGGCCTGGCGCTGCCCGCCCCTGTCCAGGCCCGGGCTGTGATTGGACAGGATGAGTGCACAGCACAGGGGGACAGGTGGATGGGGCCAGGGCCCTCCCCCCACCGAGCAAGGTCTCAGGGCACACACTTCCAGGAAGGGCTCATCCCAGCTCTCTGGAATGTTCTAGCACTCTGTGATTCAAGGACACCAAGGCCAATCTGCCTTGACTCCAAGATTCCGTGACTCAGGTCTGAGAATTTAAAATTCTATTTTCAGGCCTCTAAGCGCCTAAAGCTTTGGATCCGCACTCCTAATAGTTCAAGGGCAGGAGGAACAGTGAGGCGAGCACCAGCCAGCAGGAGAGCGGGGCCAGCCGGGACACTGAGGCCAGTGCCGTCTCGGTCTGCCTGGTCTCAGTCTGCCGGCCTGTGAAATGGACGTGGGGGAGTGCTCATCGAGTCCCTCACATTTGCTCCTCCTGGCTGTATGACCAGAGTCTGTGGCCTCGCCTGCAGTCCTGCACAGTGGGGGCTCCGTAACCAGGGCCAACAGCACTGCTGGGGCCCCGGAACCAGCTTCCAGACACCCCCTCCCTGAGTGCTGCTGTCCTAGGCATGGGAGAGCGGACGAGGGCTTGGGGCGCGGGGTGTGTTGAGGACAAGTCAGGGGCTCCCCCCAGGTTAGGAGTCCAAGTCCTCTCTCGGCTCCAGCAGTAGCAAGGGGCTGCCCTGAGAGCAGCCAGCCTGGGGTGGAGCTGGGAGGAGCCCTGGCCGGGGTAGGGGGTGGGGGCCCCCCGGGGGAGGGCAGCCAGGTGCACCTGCTCGCAGCCGAGTGCCTTCTCCCCTGCGGAGCTTTGCTGGGTGGTGCCCAGCAGGACTCGCGGCAGCCGCAGCAGGGCCAGCGCTGGGCCGGCCGAGGGATCGAGAGGAAGGGCTTCCACGCTGTCTTTTCTTCCCCTCTCCAGGTTTTGTGCAGGGGAGGATGAGGAGGGAGCCAGGCGCCAAGGGGCCGGAAGAAGGGACAAGGGGAGCAGGGGCAGCGCCCGACCGTGGTGGCGGGGCTGGGTGGGGGCTCCTGCTCACAGCCAGGGCCTCCTGAGAGCCGGGGAGTCCCGCTGAGGGACCCGTGAGCCTTCCCTGGGGTGCGATCTGCACTCAACAACCCACTGCCCTGGGCGGTCAGGGTTGTCTCTCAGCTCCCTCGCAGTCACACGATGCTTCAAACACAGGCACGCACTGTGAGGGTGGGAGCCGGCTGGGAGCGCCCCCAGCTGGACAGGAGCGGTCCCCACACATCTGGCCGGGAGCCCACAGGAGTTCCTGTTGTTTTAGATGCAGTCCACGTTCACGCTGGTCCCCTGTGCTGTCGGGCAGGCTCCAAGACCCCCCAAAATGCGCTCTCTCTGTGCAGTCTGCCCCCATACAGCACGTATCAAGTGCAGCCTCTGTCACCTGCTCCCGCCACCACCCAGGTTCAGGGGCAGCCATTCTGGGCGGGGTCTCTGGGAGGGGCCTGGTGGGCTGGGCTGGGCCGAGGGGGTACCAGAGGGCTCCTGAGCCTGGGCATCCTCACTCCTGTCAGCTCCCAGGAGTCTGATGGGAGAGCCTGGGGCTCACCCACCTGCAGTTGTCGGCTGGGTTCATCTGGGGACCTGGGACATGCAGCTGTGTCTTCCATCCAGGAGGGCTGAGGCGGGTGAGTGGACATTGTGTAAAGAAAGGGCAAGACTGCCCATGAGACGAGACGGCCCCCACCCCACGGCATCCCAGAGCCACCCCCCTGCACCCCAAGACAGCTTCTCCCTCGAGGCGTGGGAGAGGCCCCGTCCTAACCTTGAGGGCTGCTCAGTGAGATGGAGCTGGTGTGTGTCCAGCTGTGCCCTGGCGCGCGCAGTAGGTCTCCGAGTTCAGTGTCATGGGTGAGAGGCAGCACGGACAAAGCCAGCCTCCGCCTTGACCAGGCTGTGTGCTCCCTCCCGCAGGCCGATAGCCGACTGCTGACCACTCTGCCCGAAGCCATGGATGCCTTGGGCTCTCCCTCGTCAGCGCCCGCCACCTCGGAGCCTGGCAACACCTCTTCAGTTTGGCCCCCGGCTGCTGCCCCGGGGAACGCATCGGCGGGCCCAAGCCTGGCAGGGCTGGCCGTCAGCGGCGTTCTGATCCCACTGGTGTACCTGGTGGTGTGCGTGGTGGGGTTGCTGGGCAACTCCCTGGTCATCTACGTGGGCCTGCGGCACACGGCCAGCCCCTCGGTCACCAACGTCTACATCCTCAACCTGGCGCTGGCCGACGAGCTCTTCATGTTGGGACTCCCATTCCTGGCCGCCCAGAACGCCCTGTCCTACTGGCCCTTCGGCTCGCTCATGTGCCGCCTGGTCATGGCCGTGGACGGCATCAACCAGTTCACCAGCATCTTCTGTCTCACGGTCATGAGCGTGGACCGCTACCTGGCCGTGGTGCACCCCACGCGCTCGGCCCGCTGGCGCACGGCGCCCGTGGCGCGCACGGTCAGCGCGGCCGTCTGGGTGGCCTCGGCCGTGGTGGTGCTGCCCGTGGTGGTCTTCTCTGGCGTGCCCCGCGGCATGAGCACCTGCCACATGCAGTGGCCGGAGCCGGTGGCGGCCTGGCGAGCCGGCTTCATCATCTACACGGCGGCGCTGGGCTTCTTCGGGCCGCTGCTCGTCATCTGCCTGTGCTACCTGCTCATCGTGGTCAAGGTGCGCTCGGCCGGGCGGCGGGTGCGGGCGCCCTCCTGCCCGCAGGTGCTGGCGGCCTCGTGCCCGCGGCGCCGGCGCTCCGAGCGCAGGGTCACGCGCATGGTGGTGGCCGTGGTGGCGCTGTTCGTCCTGTGCTGGATGCCCTTCTACGTGCTCAACATCGTCAACGAGCTGTGGCCGCTGCCCGAGGAGCCCGCCTTCTTCGGCCTCTACTTCCTGGTGGTGGCGCTGCCCTACGCCAACAGCTGTGCCAACCCCATCCTCTATGGCTTCCTCTCCTACCGCTTCAAGCAGGGCTTCCGCAGGGTCCTGCTGCGGCCGTCCCGGCGCGTGCGCAGCCAGGAGCCCACGGCGAGGCCTCCGGAGAAGACAGAGGAGGAGGAGGAGGAGGAGGAGGAGGACCGGGAGGCGCTGAAGGGGAAGGCCCAGAACGGCCGGCTCAGTCAGGTCACGCAGCCTGGCCCCAGCGGACAGGGGCGACCGCTCAGTGCAGGGACGAGCAAGGAGCAGCAGTTCCTCCCCCAGGAGCCCCTGGCCGGGGAGAAGTCCAGCCCGCGGCACAGCAGCTACCTGTAGAGGTGGTGGGGTGCCTGGGGCGTGGCCCATGACAAGGGGAAGTTTGGAAGTTCAGAGGCTTGGGCTCCGGTGCCATTGTTGCCAGGACTTGCTGTGTGACCTTGGCCGGGAGGGAGTTCGCTTACCCTCTCTGGGCCTCTTTGTCTCCTCTGTGACTCAGGGATGGGAGGAATCAGCCTGGGTGCACTCTGGTGTGGAAGGCATCCCTGTGAGCGGGGCCCAGGCTAAGGAGCCACACACAGCCTGGCCTCGCCCTGGGATGTGGAGTGCCCATGGGGAGCAGCCTAAATTCTGGCTTTTGGCGCAGGGCCAAGGGAGATGTGGGGGGCTGCACTGAGCCCCAGGCAGCAGGGAGGAGGGGCGCTGGCCAGGCCCCAGCTCAGCTCTCCCCACTGGCCAGCTCTGCCTCTCCTTGGGCCCCGGACTGCACCTGCTGGACAGCCCAATTAGCTGATCAGAGCTGGAACTCCCGGGCGCCTGCCTGTGAGGAGAGGTGACTTCTCTGGGAAGCCGATACAGCCCAAGTTCAGGGTCCCTTATGGTTGGGCCCCTTTTGAGGCCCTGCATCTACTTTTGTAATTTTGTATTATTTTTTGTAAAGAGGGACCCCAAATGGCACAGGCTTAGGCCACCCAAAAGCCAGCTCGGTCTCTATTGGGGCCCCCAATCCCCAAGGGTCCTGGGGTGGCAGAGATGGCTCTCCAGGTCCCCGAGGGCTCCAGGAGCCTCCTCTTGGGGTGGCGGGGACCAGTCCTGCTCCTGTCCTTGCGACCCTTTGGGGGACCCAGGCAGGAAGCCCACACACAAAGGCTGCTGAGGGGAGGTGGTATCTAACAGCACCAGGAGGAAACGGAAGAGCAAGAGAGGAAGAGGAGGGGGAAGGAAGGGAGGCAGATCTAGTCGTGACCTTGGCCCTGTCCTTGGCCGCTCTGGGCAGAGGTCAGTTGCAGCTTCTATGAAAAGGGCGTGGTGGGAGCCTGGCCCCTGGTGCCCAGGGAAGGAGGTGGTCAGGGTGGAAGGGCAAGTGCCCTGTTGGTACAGAGGCCCCTGGGAGCCCCCCTACCCCGCACAGTGCTCAGGCCCAGCTGCAGGCTGGTGGAGGGTTGGGGAACCCCTGGTGGGTGGGGAGCAGGCCCCCTCTATATACTCCTGGGGGCTACAGACTTGGGGGCCCCAGGGAAGACAAGAGGAGGCAAGCATGCGACCCTGGGGTGTAGCCATCACACAAGGCTGGGCCTGGGCACACCCCAGAGTGACCCCTTAGAGCCGACATGAGGGTGGCCCTGGGGAGGGGGCCCTCCAGGAATGCACAAGGAGCCCAAGCTTGGAGACCTGGGCCTTCAGCTGACCTCAGCTCCCCTGGTGAGCGGGGACCCCTCTGGGCCTTGGTCCCCCCACATAGGGATGGAGGTGCTTGCCCTAGCTTGCCTGCCTGCCGGCTGGGATTTGCCAAGAAAAACGAGTCCCACTAGGCGAACTGCGGGGTGGGGGGCGGGGCGGATTGGAAGGCGGAGGTGCCCTCCCCACCCCCACGCTCAGCGTGGTCTCTGTGCCTGGGTGTCGGGTGAGGTTACCCAGGCTGTGAGAAGTGGGGAGTTCAGGGTCAGAGACCAAGGGGCAGGGAGGGCTCGGGAGAGTGTGGGCCCCTCAGAGGGGAAAGATGGTCCCAGAACCAGACCTGTATGGAGACTGGTGGCCAGAGGCCCTGCCCCGCAGTGTGCCCTGGGTTCCCCCAGGAGGATCTGAGGGTACTAGCGAGAGGGGCTCTCTGGCTTCCTGCCTCGGGGGGGGGGGGAGGAGGGGAGAGGCGGGCGAGCGGTGCCCTGCAGGGGGAGCTGGGAAGCTGGGCAGGAAGTCCGTTGCCACTTCTGCCCCTGGCTCTCATCAATAAAGGCAGTGACGTGTGACAGCATCTGAGGCCCGGGCAATTCCTCTGTGGGTCCCATGTCCAGAGGTGGATGAGCGTGCAGGTGTGCGTGGGCTGTGCGTCCTGGCCCCTCCTTGCCTGGCTTCCTGGAGTCCCTGTCATTCACAGCGACATGGAGATGCTCCTGACAGGCCTGGGGCCACAGCCTCACCCATCTTAAAAGCAATAGGTATCCTTTTTTCCTATTATCCAAATAGCAAATCTCATGGAAGAAAGCTGATTGGCTCCAACCGAGTCACATGATGGCCCGCTTGGGCCAATCACCACAAAGAAGGTGATAAAGTGCCATGATTGGCCAGGTGTGAGTCATGGGCCTCCCCTTCCAGCCAGAGAGAAGGTGGGGCACTGTGATGGATAGTTTGGCCTGGCCAATGGAGTAGGGGGTGGGTCAGTGTCAGACAACCAATAGCAAGGGGAGGCGGGCTTAGTGGCTACAACTCAGTCTGGGTGGGTGTAGGCTCCCTGTGCATGGATGTTTGTGTGGGCACAGTGCAGGGCACGTGGCTGGTGCTTGGAACACCACAGCCGTGTCCATGGGTGGATGCGTACCAGGTAAAGTGCAATGACACGCGGTGGGTGTGAGTGGAGTGGCTGTTGGGGCCAGCGTTCTATGAGAGTGGCCGCCTGGGCCAAGGTCCCTCCTTCACCCCCCCACTGGGTGTCGCTGCCTGCGCATACTCCCTCGCACGCACGTGTGTCGGTGTCCTAGTCGGCCACCCACGCAGTCTGACAGCTGGTCCCCAGGGGCGGGGGCTGGGCCTGCTGCATCTGTGTCCCCAGAGTGAGTCAGTGAGCGGAGCCCCGACATCCCACGACTCTAGGGGGCACCGTGCACGCCGCGTTCCCAGGTGCCTCTGAACCGTGCCACGTGCTTGGCAGCCCCGGGCTGTGGACTTTAGGAGCCTGGAATCGTGGGGTAAGGGAGCGTCAGGGGCACGGTGCGGGAGGCTCCACGTGGGGCTGCGGGCCTGAGCAGGGAGGGAGGGGTGTGATAGCCACCTTGCCCGACTCCTCTCCTCCTGCAATGGGAGTTCCGACCCAGGGCCTTACCTTGAACTTGTCTCTCGGAGGCAGTTGCTAGGCAACAGCCCATGGCCAGCAGGCTCTGTGCGTCAGTGTCAGCACCAGGGAGGAGGGCCAGTCTCCAGGACCTGGGGTGGGGGCGTGGGGGGAGCCATCGGGCAGCCTGGCTCCATGGGACTCCGCGCATTGAAGAAAACACTGTCAAGACACAGAGAGAAAAAAAAAAAGAAAGAAAAAGACACAGAGAAGCCCAGGCCAGCCCCCCTCTCCCCCCGCCCTCTGTCACGGGCAGCCCAGATGATGTCCGTCTGTCTACTAGTCACGGGACCCACAGTCAGGAGGCCTGGGTCCCAGGCCCCACTCTGCCACAAATCCGCCGTGGGTCACCTCCCTGGGCACAGGGCATTAAGTCAGCAAAAGCATTCCTGAGCCCGGACTGGACACGAGGGCCTGACCGGGTGGGGGACCCAGGAGGGCCGGAGAGGTGTGGCCCCGCCCCTCACGCTCACAAGCAGCGTGCCAGGCAGCGGGACCTGCACGTGTTGGGGCCCTGAGGTTGGAGGGATGCAGTGAGCGAAGGCGGGGGGGGGGGGGGAGGGAGAGGCGAGGCCCAGTTTAGGGACAGGCCCTTTAGGGGGTTCCTTCCTGGGAGGGGCTGAACCGTGCCCCTGCAAACCGCTACGTTCAAGTCCCAGCCCTTGTACTCGGGACGTGGCCTTGTGTGGCACTAGGGGGCTGCGGAGGGAAGTCCTTGGGTGAGGTTGAAGCAGGGAGGACGCCAGCGGCGGGTCTAGGTGAAGGCAGGGCCGTGCGGCAGAGGCGGCCGGGGCGGCCCGCACAGCTGTGAGACAGGACGCTTACGGTGCTGACCCCACTGCCGGTGTGGCGCTTTGCTGAGGCAGGCTGGGCAGACTCAGCGCCCGGCCGCCAGCCGGAGCCGACGGCCCCTGTCCGCCCGGCTGCTGGAGGAGCCACCGGGACACTGCGTGTGTTCGTTTGTTCGGTGAGGGCTCAGGAGCCGCGAGGTCACCGTGCAGCCGAGAGGGCCGTGCCCGCGCCCGCCTGGGTTTGCGTCTTGGTTCACCCACTGGTTCACTAACTTCCCTGTGCTTTGATCGCCTGCTCTGGGAGGGGAGCAGGCGTCCCCGTTGTTAGGTCTCCGTGAGCTGGTATCGGGTAAGCAGCTACGGCAGGGCCTCGCACACTGCACGGGCGGCGCAAGCAGGAAGCAGACCGGAGAACGGAACAGTCCCCGACCCAGAGGAACCCGCCTGCCCACCCAGGAGGCGCGGGGAGATGACGCCTCCCATCCGTACCTGTCTTACAGCCAGGGACAGTGAGGCCGGCGGTGGTCCAAGGACTTGCCCAAGGTCACAGCACCAGGAGCAAGACCACGCCCCCCTTTCCCCACCTGTTATCAGTGCTGATAGGTTGTGACGACTATGAACATGCGTGCTGAGGGACAGGTGCGAGGCTGGCAGTGGGGACGGCTCTGAGGCCATTGGGGTGAGCTCCCGGGAAGACCTGTGGACAGAGGGACAGCCCAGGTCCTGCGGGGAAACTGGTCGCCTCCCAGGGCTCCAGCTACGCCCCAGCAAGCCCCATGGCCGTGGCACACCCACGCTCATGGGGGCAGAGGGTGAGGCCAGGCCCCCGGAACCCATCCTCAGCCTCCTTGTTGTTCAGGTAGAAGACGAGCGCTCTGCGGGGGAAGGGACGGCGCGGCCTCGGCGGCCTGCAGACCTCAGGAACCCGCTGGCACCTCACAGCGGGTCAGGAGCGCCGGGCGCGCTTTGCCTCGGCATCAGTGAGGCCATGCCTGCCTCTGAGCTCCAGCCGGGACTTCCGCCTGCTTATGGGGCGCCTCTGGCCACCATTAGCCAGAACACACACGCACACACAGAGTCGCAGAGGCGGCAGTGGCCGGTGAGTTCTAGGCCTCCTCTCTCAAACGGGGGCTCCACTTCCCCATCTCCCTGGACTCTCCCAGAGAAGCCCGGGACGCAGCGGCCCCATAAGGTCAGTCGATGCTCTCTGTGTCCGGCAGGGGGCGCCGCGGGACCTCAGGCTCCGCCCGCTCTCGCCGTGCGGCGCTCGGCTCGGCCGGCCTCGGCTCTATTCGGCCACATCCGGATCTACTCGTCAGGCTCGGCTCTGCTCGGCCGGACTCGGCTCTGCTCGGCCTTGTTCGGATCCGTTCGGCTCCGCCCGAGGCCCAGGGACCTCAGCAGCGACACCTCCCTCCCTCCTGGCGATGGCCATCTCGGGTACAGGCCTGGGGGGCGGGGACCGAGCTGCCCGTGGGACCTCCGGCTGGTGGCTCCCCGCGGCCGGGGTCGCGTTTGAAGCCTAAGCCGGAGGACTTGGAAGGGGCTCCCCGAGCCAGGAGGCGGGGCGCCGCTCCCGTACTTTTCCAGGGAGGCGAGGGAGGTGGCACGGGCCTCGGCCTCCCCGCAGCAGGGAATAGGGCCTCCGGGGTGTGCAGGGGCGGGGAAGGTGCTGGCCCGCCCAGTCTACGCCTCTCCGTTCCCCCTCTGTTCGATGGGATTCGAGGCAGCCAACGCGGATTAGCCCCCTGGAGATCACACGTGGGTTTGCCGAGAGCGCGGGACGCGGACCCCGGGGCACCCCCGTCGCCGGGAGGAAGCGGGGAGCTGCTTGGGAGGGGTCGGTCCCTGTGGGCCCTCTGCTCAATTCGCAGGGCATGCTGGGTCTCCAGGAGCGAATGTGGTTGGGGAGGGGTCTGGGGAGGCCGGGGGTGTCCCGTCTGGCGCGGCTTCTTCCCCTCCCTCCCCTCTCCTGCCCCCCTGAGTTCCCTGAGAAGGGGGAGGGGTGGTGCTCCGTGGGCTGGGCGGCGGCAGGGGCCGCTCTGCCCAGCAGGTGGCGCTCGCGCTACTGACCTTGAACAATGAGCCCTGTGACTTGTCATTCACAACTTAAAAGCTGACTATGGGGATCTTGCTACAGTGCTGTGTCCTGGGAGCGGGGAGGGGGCGGCTCTGAGTGGAGAAACCCAGGGCTTCTGCCTTGGGGTCGCCTGTGCTAACAGGGGCCATGGCGGGGTGATGAGGGGCACCCTGGGCCTGCCTCTCCCCCTGGCCATGCGGGCATCCCGGGCCCCAGGGCTCCCAGGCAAGGGTGTGCATTTGCAGAGTGGCATGCCCCTTCTCTGTATTCAGGGTTTAACCAGGGAGGGGCACTGATGGGGCCAGCTGGGAGCACCCCTGTGGGGGATTCCACTAGGTGTGCAGATGGACCATCCCACCCTGGGACACCCAGGCCCCAGGCTGCAGAGCTGGGACAGGTTTGTCTGGCACAGGGCTGCAGCTGTGTCTCCAAGCCACTTGACCTGCTGAGATCCCATGGCTGGGAGGCCAAGGGATGACGCACGAATGGAGGAATCTGGGGGTATGGCGAAGGAGAGCGGGAAGGTTCTGAGTCCTGCTGCTCGCGGCTCTGCCCCCAGCTGGCTGCCCTGGGCCCTGGTGAGCGAGCGCCCTCTCGGGTTCATCGCTTGTCTGGGAGCCACAAGAGCCAGCTCTGGAACGGCTCCAGACCCCAGCGGGATGCAGAGCTGGTGCTGAGTGTGCCACGGTGCCCGGTGCCCAGCTCGAAGTCGGCCCTCCACTGGGCCCTTCCTGGGTCCCCAGCCTGCTTCTCCCCACCCCCAGCCCTGTCTCTCCATCCCCCTTCCTCGGAGTGCTGCTGAGTCAGCCCTTTTCCCTCCGTGGTGGCATGTGGGAGGATGGCTTCCGCCCTCTGCAGCCTGGCCCTGTGCCCTGGGAGCGCAGCCTGGGCCAGAGCCACGTTGCGGGCACGGCCAGCACCGGTCTGCCCCGGCCCCCCAGCTGTAGTCCTCTCTGCTTTCTTTGGGCCCCCTTAGGCATCCGAAGAGCCCTGGGGGGATCCAAGTGGGACCTGGGGGTGGGGGAGCAGCGGTGGCTGGAAGTCAGAAGCCTGGCTCGCAGCCCAGCCTGGCCGCTGCTCCGTGACCTTGACCCTGGGCCATGGCGGCCCTGCCGGGGAGATTAAGGAGTGGGATTCCAGCCCCGTTCCTCTGCTGTTTATTCCCCCAAACAAACAGGAAGTCGGAGGCCCAGAGACCAGCCCGCTCAAGGACACCCAGCCGCGGGGGTGCTCTTGGGTCTTCCACACTTTGCCCATCTGGGCACTGGGACTTAGCACGCAAAGCCCCAGACCTAAATACGTGCCCTGGGGTCCCTGCGCGCCTGCGACTCCTGAGGGTGACGGGCCCACCACCTTCCTCCTCCCGGCGTGGGAGTGGGGGCAGACCCTGACCTGTGGCCCGTGCTGCTGTGCCGCGGTGGGGGCCTGGGAGTGGGGGTGGGGTCACTTCAGCTTGAGACTTGTCCCCTCTGCTAAGGCTGGGGTCACGCTGCTTGCAGTCATGGAAATAGACACCCTTTGGGGAGCGGCCCCTCCCCAGAGACGAGGTCCAGCCGGGGTAGCCGGTACCCGGCACAGGTGGCTGTGCGGGCTGTGGCGGCCGAGGGACCTCAGAGGCAGCGTCTGCCCGGCCGTCTCTGGGCCCAGAGCGCCGGGGCAGGGAGTCGGGGCTGCCTGGCTGGAAGGAGAGCCAGGAGGGACCCCTGGGCCCTGCCCAGCCCTGGGGACTTGCTGGGGGTCGCTTCCGCGGAGGAGGAATCATGCCGAGTGGCTGAGCCCTAGGCGCTGTGTGTGGGGCCTGAGGAGACCACTCCTGCAGCCTGTCCCGAGCCCCCCCACGAGCGTGGCCCACATGGAGGTGGGGACCGTAGGCCCGGGACCCCCGGGGCTAAGGGTGAAGTGACCCACCAGTTCGGGCCCGTGCCGTGCCTCTGTGACTCAGCCGGCCGGTGGCCCTGCGGGTTCAGGCTGGATGGGGGAGTCAGGCTTGCGGGCTCGCCCCTCCCTGCCTCAGTTTCCCAGTCTGCACAGCAAGGGGCTTTGGACTGTTTCCCACTCTGACTTTCTAGGCCTTTGAATCGCCCGGACCCCACTGGAGCACCAAAGAGTTAAGCCAAGGAAATCCTGGCGCTGGGCTCCCGGCTCGGCTCTCTGGCTCTCCGAAGAGCCCAGTGGCTGGGCTGTGGGGAGGGACAGGGAGGAGGGGGAATGGGAAGCCAGCTCAGCCGCTCCCTCCGCCTCCCTCCGCCTCCCTCTGCCTCCCTCGCGCCGCCCTCCCGCCTTCCTCAGCAGGGTTGGGGGTCCGGGCCAGCAACAAGTTCTTATCACGGACATGGGCCAAGGAGCCGGGGGCCACCCGGAGAGCCAGGGTCAGTGAGCCACCTGCGAGGCTGCAGGACACGGGGTGAGTGGCAGGGACCCTCAGCCGCTGACTCCCCAGGGCCGAGGGGGCTGTGGTCAGAGCCGAGACCCCTCCTCTTTGCTTGGACACATCTGGGGCCCTGCTGTCTCCCTCTGACCCGGCTGCCGCTCCGGCCTCTCCCCACCCCCTTGCCCTCAGCTGCCCTGGACTTCAGCTCCGTCCTGCCGGCCCCGCGCGCACAATGCAGCCAGCCCTGCCTTCCAGCTCCGAGAAGGGGCGCCTTGTTGCCACCTCCCGCTGTGCGAGAAGTCTCAGCTCCCGGGTGCGGGCAGCAGGGGCCCGCGCAGGCTCCCCCAGCGCCAAGTCCCGAGGCGTGGTCGGTGCCCGGCAGCCCCCCCAGGCCAGGCGGCCGTCCCGGCCAGCTGTGGTTGTTACTTCTCTTGCTGCTCCCTGCTTCCTGCTTCCCATGCCACTGTTCCCCGACTCCCAGCTTTCGACTCCCGGCTGGCCGTGGCCAATAGGAAGCAGGAATGTCCCCAGACTGCGCTGCCCCCCTGGGAGCAGCACTGGGTGGTGGGTGAGTGGTGGGGAGTGAGCTCTGTCTGTGTCCAGGGTGGCGGGGTGGGGGGAGGTGCTGCTGTTGTCGCTCTGTGAGGGTCAAGAAGTGGAGCCGGAAGTCCAGAGAGGCCAGGTCAGCAGCCTGAGGCCCCACAGCTCCCGCGCCACCCTCGATGTCAGCTCCCGCCCCAAGGCCTCCGCTTGACCAGTGAGGTCCCATCCAGAGAAAGGTGGGGGCAGGATTTCACTCATCTCTAAACCACGGGGCTTTGGAGTTGGCAAACAGAAGGTGAGGGTGCAGGTTCACAGGTGGACAGAGCCGGAAGCCTCACCTGGGTGGACAGAGCCGGCCTGGGGAGGACTCAGCTCCAGGCGGGTGGCCCTGGAGACTGCCTGCCCCGCCCCCTTCTGCTGCAGCCACCCAGCACCCCCTGGGGGTGGGGGGGACAGGGTGTAGCACTCCTCCCTCCCTAAAACTTAGCCCCTGGGGTGGGCCCTGGGTGCAGCAGGTCAGCCCAGCCTGTGACACCCGCGTCCCGTGGCCGCGGGCCTGGGTCTGAGTCCTGACTGCACCCTGGGAGGCAGCAGTGGTGGCCCAAGTGCTGGGGTCCCTGCCACCCACATGGGAGACCTGCATGGTGATCTGGGCGCCTGGCTTCAGCCTGGCCAGGCCCTGGCTGCTGTGGGCATCTGAGGAACCAGCAGGGGGCAACTCTGTCTATGTCTGTCTGTCTGTCTGTCTGTCTCTCTCTGTGTTGTTCTGCCCTTCAAATAAAAAAGAACAATTCAAAAAATAATATTAAACCTAGCTCTCGCCTCGGCTCAGCGGAGGTTGGATGGCATTTGAAAAGGTAATCATTTTACCTTCTCTGCACGTATTAACCGCAGAAAAATATTTTTGAATTGTACTAAATGTTAAAGGGGAACAAAAAGGAAATAAACAGAGAACGCCAGAAGTGTAAAACCAGTCTGGTTTCAGAAGCCGAGTTTCTGATCGTGTGATAACTCGGCGCCAGCCCCCGGAGCCTGCCACCGAGGCTCCCGCCGGCCTCCCTGCCCCCAGCCCGGCCTGGCCCCGCCGTGGCGTCCCGGCTACTTCCTGCCCTTCTCGGGCGCTCCGGACCCGTCTCGGCCAAGGTCAGAGGCATCTCTACATCTCCACTCTTCCGAGTTTCCCAGACCTCCTTGGCCCGCCCCCTTGAGTTCCAATTTGCCACCTCGGCAGCTGATTGGTGGGTCTGTGTTGATTGACCGGATCGCCCTCCAATGGGTTGACTCCTTCTGGGGAGCCTTTCCACTGGGCTGCAGGGTTAAGGTGTTGACTGCGCAGAGGCGGCGCACGCACCTGGGCAGGCTGTCCACCCTAAGCGTTGCCTTCCGCCCAGGGGACCTTCCGTGTGTCTCTAATCTGTCCACCCAGAGGCTGCCTCCTGCTTGGTGCAAAGGCCCGCTGGCAGCCAGCGATGGCCTGCGCCCTGGGCCTCGGCACGTGTAACCCGCGGGGTTCTCTCATGGCTGTGGCTGCTGTCTGCTAGCATCAGCGCCCCCCAACACACACACACCTCGCGGGGGCGCCGGAGTTCACACTCAGCCACCTGCGCACTCCCCCGGGAGCAAGGCTGCAGGGGCCTCTGTGTGTCCTGGGTGTGTGCGGCCAGGTGGCACGCACCTGCTGGGGGTGGCGGGGCAACAGGCCCGGGGCAGGCGAGGGGGCTGGGCAGCCGGGGCATCTTCCTCACCCCAGCAAGGGTCTCCCGGGACCCTGGCCCTCGTGGTCGCCTCAGAGGAGAGACTGCACATCCAGGCCCTGCCCCCAGCCTCTTGGCGACCTCGGGGCACTTGCTGCCCTGTGTGGCCTCCGTCTTCCTGACTGTTGAGTGGGGGCACTAACACCCCCTCCCCGGGGGATGCCCAGAGCGGGCTCGCTGTGGGGGCCGTGGCCTGCTGCTGCCGCTGACAGGTGGTTCCTCGTTCCAGGTCACCATGGGGACAGCTGCCCTGGGTCCCCTCTGGATGGTGCTGCTGCTCCCTCTCATGGTGTGCGGGGTCCCCACCGAGGAGCCCACACCTACGGGAGCTGTGATCTCCACCCCTGCCGGGGGCTGCCGGCAGTGCTGTGACCCCCAGGGCCCCCAGGCCGATGCCGCCGACGTGGCCCCCGCCTCTCCGTCGGCCCTCCCGTATGTGCTGCCCGAGGTCCGGCCCTACATCAACATCACAATCCTGAAGGGTGAGAGCACAGGGCGGGGCGGGACCGGCCTGGCCGGCAGCGGTCAGGGCGGCTGGGCAGGGGGCGGGCAGCAGCCCCGTCCTGGCACTCACGAGTTCACCGAGCACCTGCTACGTGGACTGTCCTGAAAACAGCCTCTGTCCCAGTGGGGCAGGCAGGCGAGGACAACAGCAGATTACCCAGAGTGCCCTGGGGAAGGACACAGGGGCCTGGCTGGGGCGCAGGCTGCAGAGGGGTGGGGGGCAGCGTGGGTGCACCGAGCAGGCAGCACTGCAGCCGAGACTCGCGGGAGATGGGCAGGGGAGCCCAGAGAAGGCGGGGGTCAGATCACAGCATCGGGTCCCCCCTGGCCTCCAAGGGGCGCCCCATCCGGGTGACGTTCCAAGTGCACCCTGCAGTGTCGCGTGTGGGACAGACGGTGGGGGCCAGGGCAGACGCGGGGAGCCCTGTGGGGTCTCTGTGGCTGTGCCCTGAGGCCTGCCTGTGAAACCAGACGAAGTGGAAATTTCTCCCGTGGCTGAGCTGTCAGCGCTGGCGGCTGTGGCCAGGCCCTGGCCGCCCTCGGCCTCCGTCATTCCTCCCGCTTTGCTCATGGGGAAACTGAGTCTCCAAGGGGCCACCTGAGGTGTCTGCGGGGCCTGCCCACCCCACGGCCAGGGGTCAACTGGCACCTGAGACTCCCCCCGCCCCCACCCCTATGCCTGCACATCGCAGCCTCCTGGGCCGACTTGGCCTGGGCCCTGTCTGCTTCCCCCCAGCTGTGCTGTCCCTGCTGAGGACCTGGGCTGCCCTCAGGAGTCCTGGGCCCCAGCCCGGCTCCTCTGCTCCCTTGCCCGGTTGGACCAGGCGGGTCTCCCTCCCTCCCTGCCTTGCTGCCTCCCGTATAAGAGGAAGGCAGCCCCCCACTTCCGACCGCCTCCACTTCCTCCCTCGGGTGTGGGCAGGTGAGTGCGCTCTGTGAGGAGCCGTGCGCACCGGGAGGTCCTTGCCCAGTGGGTCTGCCTGGGGAGCCCTGGGCAGCCAAGTGCTCCCCCAGCCCTGCGATTCTCTGCAGGAAGCAGGAGAGCACGCCGAGCCCCCACCGTGCTCCTGGGGCGGGAACCCAGCCATGGTCTGGCTCCTCGCCCGACGTCTCCATGTGGGGCGGAAGCGCAGGGGGCATCCCCATGGCCCTGGGCTGTGGCAGTGGCTCCAGGTGGGGACCCAGGCCCCACCTCCCACCTGGGCCCACGCCCCTCCTGGCGTGCAGAGACCAGGCTGGGTTGAGTCCTGTGGGTGGTGTCTTCTTTTTGTTTTGTTTTTAAAAAGATTTATTTATTTGAAGTACAGAGCAAGGAGAGGGGGAGATGGGAGAGAGAGAGAGAGAAAGAGAGAGAGAGAGAGGGAGAATCTTCCACCCCCTGGTTTATTTCCCCAAGGCCTGCAACAGCTAGGGTTGGGCCAGGCCAAAGCCTGGAGCCAGAAACTCCATCCAGGTCTCCCAGGTGGATGGCAGGGACCTGGCACTTGAGCGCCCTCTGCTGCCTCCCGTGCGCATCAGCAGGAAGCCGTATCAGAAGTGTGCAGTATCGGGGACTCAAACCCGGATTGTCATGCGTGATGCTGGTGGCTTAACCCGCCAGCCCCAACATGGAGTCTTCTTCAGGGGGAGGCTTGGGGAGGCCAATGAGTGGCACACAGTAGGTGCTCACTAAACGCGAGCCCCTTCCCTGGAGCTGGGCGGGGCGGAGCCTCCCACAGACAGGTGCGGCCGGCTGTCTCCCTGACATCTCCCCTTCTTGTCCCCGCAGGTGACAAAGGGGACCGAGGCCCGCTGGGCGCCCCGGGGAAACTGGGCAAGGAGGGTCCCCGGGGGGACCGTGGCCCGCAGGGCACCAAGGGCGCCAAGGGGCAGGCGGGCAGCCCCGGGGCGCCGTGCCAGCGGCGCTTCTCTGCCTTCTCGGTGGGCCGCAAGACGGCCCTGCACAGCAGCGAGGGCTTCCAGCCGCTGCTCTTCGACACGGTCTTCGTGAACCCCGACGGGCACTTCGACATGGAGGCCGGCCACTTCGCCGCGCCCCTGGGGGGCCTCTACTTCTTCAGCCTCAACGTGCACAGCTGGAACTTCAAGGAGACCTACGTGCACGTGGTGCACAACGAGGCGGCCGCCGTGATCCTGTACGCGCAGCCCAGCGACCGCAGCATCATGCAGAGCCAGAGCGTGATGCTGGCCCTGGCGCCCGGCGACCGCGTGTGGGTGCGGCTCTTCAAACGCGAGCGCGAGAACGCCGTCTACAGCGACGACGTGGACACCTACATCACCTTCAGCGGCCACCTCATCAAGCCCGAGGACGACTGAGCGCCGCGGGGCAGCGCGGGTGCTGGTGGCCGGGCTGGGCTCCTCCCTCCTGACCCCGCCACGCCCCTGCCTCTGTCCCTGTCCCCGCTCTCCCTTCCCTGCCTATTTCCGTCTTTCTGCCCTACGGATTCTAGAATGTTCTCCACCTTACAGCCCGGGCCTCTCCGGCTTGCCGATGTGCAGCGGCGGGCTCTGACCCAGCAGGTTGGGGCGGGGCCTGGGTGACGCTCACGCTGCCGTAACCAGGTTCTAGAACGTTCCCAACACCTGCGTCTCTGAACATTCTGGAATCTTCCAGACATTCTAGGATTCTCCTCCCCCTCCTCTCCCGCCCTCCCCTCTGCAGCCCCCATCCATGCTTTCATTTACCAAACAGTCCCCGATGGTGCCAGGGCCTGGGAGGGTGGGGAGGAATCAGACCTGCCCCTGCCCTTGGGGGGTGCGCAGTCCAGCCTGGGCTGGGGAAACACATGGGAAGATTAGGAACCAGACCCAGAGAGTGCACGGGGCGCCCTCATCCTGAGAGGCCCGTCGCTGTGCACCACCACCCCCCAGAGCCGGTCCCCGTGATGAGTGGTGTCACTTCATGTTCCTTGTCCTCTTTAAAGGAAGCCCTGCAGTGGCATTGGCCAGGTCAAGGGTCTGTAAGGAGCGGGCCCAGGAGTTTTCGGGCATTCAGGCTAAAGTTACAGAGCCCAGACTCCTTGCTCCTCACACCGCTGGTGGCTGCAAGGGCTCCTGCCCTCCTCACCGTATCCCCCTCCTTGCTCCTCCTCCCCCCCACCAGGTGCTCTGCCGGGGCCTTGCTCAGCCCCTCCTGCCAAAGGCATCTGAGCCTCAGTTTCCCCAGGGCCTCCTCTCACAGTCACACATGGGTGCTGTTTCCAGGTGCTCTCCGACCCGCCCCCGCCCTGTCGCTGGCCAGGCTCCCCTCAAGGTGCTGAGGCCTGGGCGGGCGGCTTCTGCCCGCAGAGCCCTCCCTGGCCTGGCGCTGCCCTCGCACAAGCCAGTGGGTGGTGGGCCAGCTCGGGCGGGAGCCCCGCCTGTGGGGCCCTCAGCAGGTCTGGGGGACGGCAGCAGGCAGTGTCCCCCATCCTCCAAGGCTCCCCACCCAGAGAGGCCCCAGGAGAGGCTGAGGGGAGGCAGGGACCCCACACCTTCCGTCCTTCCCCCTCTCCCAGGGTTGGGGGAACGGCGGCCCCCAGCCCCTCCCTCACCCCAGGTGTCCTGACCTCCCCAGAGCAAGGTGGCCGCTGCCCTTGGTGCTTACGCAGACTCTGGGGCAGAGGCGGCCCCAGTGGGGGGGTCTCTGGTGCTCACAGCCAAGGGAGCCACGCCACGTGGCCGGGGCCGGCAGCAGGGCCTGCCACGAGCCACGAAGCCCGGTGCTATGTAAGCTGCCCAGCCCGACCCCATGTGCCCGCTTGTCCAGTGTGATTAAAGGCTGCTCCATCCCCCGGCGGCTCCGCCTCCTCCTTCCTGCTCCGCCCCTCGCCCACTGTGGGAGTCCCAGCACTCCAGAGTCATCTGCCTGGCCACACTGAGCACGGCCCGCGTCAGAGGAGCTCTGGGTGCCGCACATCGCGGGGTGGCCGCTGAGTGCTGGCTGGGGCAGCCACGCACCTGCCCGGGCTCTGCAAACGGAAGGTAAAGCCCCATGCATGTCCAGGCCGTGTTGGCTCAGGGCACGGGGCTGGGCAGCTGTCACTCAGATGTGGCAGGGGACATGCCGGACCCCTGTCCCAGACTGGGTGGCACGTGACACACTGGCCTTCAACAACGGACTTTCTCCCCAGCAAGGGCCATGGGGAACTGGAGCCCCCAAGCCCGCTGCCAGGTGTGCGGGGCACAGCGCCCCCCAGGGGATCCACAGTGCCTCGTCCTGGTGACTCCAGTGAGCTGGCTGATGCCCATGTGGCCACCTCCCCATCCAGGGGAGACTTTGAAAATGACATTTCCTTCCCTGAGTTGCTAGGCACTGGGGAAGGGAAGACCAGGAGAACAGCAGCCCATGAGTTGGGGCCTCGCCTCTGCTCGTCCTGCCGTCAGGTGGCTGGGGCCACACACAGGGCACAGCCAGAAGACGGGGGATCAGATGGTGACCCAAGCTGGGGGCGGAGCCAGTGCGGGTGGCCGTGGACCTGCTCCTGGTCGGGTGGGCGGGAGCCATGGCATGGGCCTGGGGAACCTGTCGGATGTCCTCAGCCCACCTCGCAGAAGGTCAGCACGGGCTTGGCGGTCACGTGGGTGTGCGGGGAAGGGAGCGGAGACTTGTGGCGGGGCGGGCGGTGCGGGAAGGCCGTGGAGAGAGCAGAATCGTACAGTCGTGTTTGGAAAGCAGTGAGGGAGGCGGAGCAGGCTGACTGCTCTCCTCAGAGCCGGGGCGTCTTCAGGAGCAGATCCATCACCTTGGCGAGGACGCGGACACGAGTGGGCGAGGCTGGAGGCAGGGGACAGCCGGGCTCTGGTCCCAGGAGTCCGGACACCCCAGGGTGCACCCAGCACCAGGGGCATTGTGGGTGTCGTTTTGGGGGTGGCGGCCGGGTGTCCCCCAGGACCACGAAGGAGGTGAGAGCGTTAGTGGCAGTGGATCTATAGGTGCTGGTCTCCCATGGAGTCTCCCTGCCAGCAGAAAGTGGGCAGGCCTGGGGGCCAGGGTGGTCTTGCAGCCCAGTTCTGCCGGGGTGGGGGAGACGTACCCGTTTGCGCTCCTTACCTGTGACATCGGCTTCCGATGCAAGGCTATACGGGGTAACTGTTTTCAGGACACCAGTGAGACCCAGTGGAGGAGGGGCAGTGGGAAGAAAGCCTGAGGTTCGAGCCAGCTGTCCCCCCAGATCCAGGGACACCTCGGGGGTGGGGTAAGCTTCAGAGAACCCACGGGTGCTCAGATGCCAGAATGGCGGGCCCTGGAGCCGGCTGGGGCACTTCCTGGCACAGCTCCCGGCTCCGAGCACAGAGCCGCACTGTCCCTACAGGGCGACCTGGGCCTGTCACTTCCTCTCTGTGAGTCTTGGTTTTGTTCCAACGAAGGTGTGACCATGATGGGGTCTCTGGGCGTTAGCAGTGTAAACAGTGGTGCTCAAAGTGTGACTTTTGTGAGCACTGGGGCTGCAGAGCTGCGGGTGGGAAGCAAGGGGCAGGAGACCTCGGGCTGGGGGGGAGGTGGCTCCCCCTCCCCTCCCCCCTCCTGCACTGTCACGGTAGCCACAGGCTGCCACGTGTGTCTGCAGAAAAGGAGCGCGTGGGCAGAAACCCAGCACGACCAGAAACAGCTGTGAGGGACACGGGGCGGCGGGGCGGCGGGGTGCGGAGTGGGGCCAGCAGGCAGCCGCGGCAGCCAGAGAGGAAGCAGGGATTTCCAGGACACGAGTTAGGAGTGCGCTGGCTAAGCCGGCGTGGCTTTGGAGCAGCTGGCCTGCGAGCCGGGGAAGCCGGGAGGCTGGGGTGCCCGGGCCCCAGGCCAGGGCTACGGTGCGGGCGGGGTCAGGACGGGCAGTGAAGTCGCAGCAGTGGGAGCAGGGCCAGCCGTGGGGGAGGAGGTGGTGGCCATCAGAGGGGCCGGCGCGTGGAGGAAGCAGTGCAGGGCCAAGCAGCTGGGGCAGGGGAGGCAGATGCACACCCCAAGCTCCCGCCCGGGGCTGGCCTCTGTCCCACTGACCACGCATTGCCACTGGGAGCAAAGAATCGACGCCCCCAACACGGACGTGCATGGAGCAGAACTCGCTTCTCTGTGCAGACGTCACTGGCAGGGACATGTCCAGAGCTGAAGTCAGGAATGTGCTTCTGGCCAGCAGGGCTTCCCGTCCCCATGCTTCCCTGAGGCCCGGGAGCGGCCACGTGGCCACGTGTCATCTGCGCTGTTTGCCCATGGCCAGTCCGGGTTCCAGGCTTGCTCAGTCCTGCTCACCCATCCTGGGACGCGTGTGCTCTCGGCCCGCCAAGTCCGGCCCCCCCCGGATACACCACGCGGCCACCTCTTCCCTGGGGTCCCAGCCACCTCCTTGGGGTCCGCCCAGTGAGAGGGGAGTGGCCGTGTGAATCCCAGACGCCCAAGCCTGCGGGAGGTCTTCCTGTGTCCCCTCACCCAGCTCAGCCTGGGGAGGAGGGGACAGGACCCCAATGCCGACACATTCCTTGTCTCCGCGCGGCTGCCCCGGGGTGGGGGGCATCGGAAGAGTGTGGGGAGGGGCCGGGTGGGGGCTGCTCGGTGCACCTGCTCCCAGAGCTCTGGGCTGGGCACCCGGGCTGCGCGTTGTCTTGTCCTGTATTTCCGCTGTGCACACTGAACACAATGCTTTGCTCTCAGGCCAGCTCGCCTTGGGGCCACAGAGTGCGGGTCTGGGTCTGGGCATCCCATCCGGGCATTTGCAGGGCCAGTCAAGGATCAGGGATTCTTTGGTCCAGCAGTCCTTCCTCACTTCTCATTGGCCAGAATAGGTCACATGACCCGCCTGTACCCAACCTCTGGGAAGAATAGGATTATGGGACGTAAGTTTTGCCCCCAAGCCTCAAGTGAAATTAGAGTCCCCCGGAGAGGTGGGTGGCCAGTGAGGAGCTGGGGGTGGGCACTGAGCCCGGTGACGGAGGCCCCTGTGTCCCACGTTAGAGGGCCTGGGTTCTGTTCCCGGCTCCGGCTCCTGGCTCCAGCTTCCTGCTACCGCAGACCCTGGAGGAGGCGGCGGGGGCTGGAGTGATTGAGTTCCCACAACAGTGAGCGGGACTGGGGCTCTGGCCTGGGATTACTCTAGCCAGTGCAGACACCTGGAGAATGAGGGCACTGGCTCTCACTGGTGCGCTCTCTCTCTCTCAAATAAAATCAAGAGTCCATCTGGTTCGCATGTCCTGGAAACCCTCTGGCCACACTGTCACCTGTGGGTGTCTGACTCACCCGGGCGCCCTGGTTCTAAGAAGCCTTCCCAGATTGGAGTGTCCCCCCGTGTCAGCGCTTATCAGCCATCAGCTCTGCACAGCTGCAGGAAGCTCATGGGGACGGGGACTGTGGTGGCACCAATGTCACCCCCTAACGCACCCCACCCCCACTCTCTCGAGCAGCAGAGCTGGAGGTGCGTGGTTACGGGGGAGGCCCCGGCTCAGCTGGCACTGAGGAGATGGGAGCGGGCCCCCTAACTGCTCCATGCCTCGGTCTCCCCACCTGTAAAATGGGTGTGAGCACGGATTCCACGGGACATGGCAAGGATTAAAGGGGTGAGACCTGGACAATCCTGGCACACGGCAGGCTCAGGGCTGGGACATTCACGATGCAGACCAAGGGGTACCGGGCGGCGTGATCATCGCCTTCACGCACGAGCCACCTGTCCACTGCCAGTCATGGTGGTGGGTACCTCGTACGGGCTGAGCACTGTGCTAGGGCCGGGGCAAAGGGTGAGCGAAGCCCCACACGTGGCTGCAGCTGGGGGGAGGTGGGCTTCGTACAGAAACTCCCAGCAGCATCACAGGCCTGGGGTAGGGGCCGTGCAGGGCCAGCGGGAGGAGAGGCTGAGACCTGAAGCCAAGTCTTAGCAGAGGCACAGGTGCAAGGGTCAGCGCGGGTCAAGGCCACAGGACGATGCCCAGCACTGGGAAGGAGGAAGTGATAGGAGGACCCGGAGCAGACCCGGGCTTGGGCATCCTACCTAGCGGGCGCCCTGCGGGGTTCCAGGCCACCGGAAGCACGCGCCGAGTCAGTGTTTGTCAGGATGGCTGGGGGTGCGACCCAGGCTCAAGGTCTGTGGGCGGGGCCTGGCCCGGGAAAGGCCTCCCCATTGGGGTCTACGTGGAGGCTGCGGCTTGCGCAGCTCCTGAGCCCGTCTGTTGGTCCGTCTGTTCGTCCCTGCCCAGCTTCGGCTTCAGAGACGTCACCACGTCAGCGTGAAATTGGCCATGGTGTCGGTGTTCACAGCGTCTTAATGGGCAGGCCACACAGTCTGCCGATCTCTGGTTAAAACGGCTCTTGTTAGGTTCTTGCCAGTCAAGGCCGTCATTCGCAAAGCAGCCCCAGAGTGGCCAAAGGTGGCCCCCGTGCTGTGGGCTTGTCTCTGTCGTGCTTCCTCTCTTTGGGGACCTGCAGGGAAGTCCTCGGGTGCAGGAACCTGCGTTTGTGTCTGGGGTGGTAGCAGGGCAGGGGTCTGGGGGCAGCGGGGTCTCGTCCACAGCCAGGCTGTGGGGATGAGACCGTGCGTCCCATCAAGCGATGACGGCTGGGAGAAGGCGACGATGGCGGTCAGTTGTGGCCCTCTTGGGCCCGAGCGGTGGTCAGCAGGCACCTCTGCAGAGGACAGAGGCCTGGGTGCCGGACCGTCCACCCCGTAAAAGCCACACCTCATTTTCAGACGCCGACGTCACCTGCTGCAGGCACCCATCCCTCTGCCCCCGGCAGCCCTGCTCACGGGGGGCGTGGCTCCCCTTGGCCACACCCTTGTCAGGCCCAGGGGCCTTATCTGAGAGACGTGGCCGCCAC